TCCCCAGCCTACCTATTGCAACCAGGTTGAGGAATGTTATATTTTTTTCATTTGCTCTGTGATTATGATTGCTTAAAATACTTAAAATATTTAGTGGAAGAACAAAATACAGACTTGTTAAAAANAGGTTTAGCGTTAGGTTAAGGGTTAGGTTTAGGGTTAGGTTTAAGGTTAGGTTTAGGGTTAGGTTTGGGGGGGGTAGGGTAAGGTTTTCGCTTTAATTTTAAGTTTACCACTCACAGCGTGATGTTTTCGTCGCACTGTGATGACGTCAGGTACGCGCTTTTGTCGAGCGCGCTTTAGTCTACCGCGGTTTTGTGGTGGAACCTTTGGGGATGACTATCAAGATATGGTAAACCTATGAAATGTAAGTTACTTTATTATAGTTTCAGTATATTACTTGTATCCAAAAGATGGGAACCACATTAAAAGACCACTGAATATACGAGAATAAGTGATATTAGAGGGAAGGGAACGGAAAGAAAGACAATTTTTCTTACACTAATCTCTCTAAATATATTTGTGTGATGCATCCATGTTTCGTAAAATCTCACTCGGCACGTTTCTTTGCAGAGTTACCCTTTGAATACATTCCTGCTAATAATTTTCTAATTATAATTTTCTAATAAATACGCATTAAAGGAAATGCATGGTTGTCCTAAACCATTATTTATGACTAAAACATATAATGAAACTTACATCTGAGACTTTAGAGTTGGAGAAAATTGAGGGAAACTTCATGTTAGGCCCAGGTTAAACTAATGACCAAAAAACATGGTGAAATTATTTTAAGGTGCAAAATAAACCATATAATGTTAGTAGCAGTAATCAGCCTTTCATAATCTTATGCTTTTCCCAGGTTGGGCATATACAGGAACGGATGAATTCCAAAGGAGGCTACAGCAACCATTCTATGAAAGCACAGATTTAGAAGATGTTCAAATTAAGGGGCTAAGTAATTAATCTCGTCAGATAGAAAGCTTTATATTTAAGTTTATTCATTACTGTTTGTACACTGGTTGTAAATGGTTAAAATAACACCATTTTAGTCTGTGACAGTCTGTACAAACTGGGGATCTGATTACAAAACTATAAAGCTGTGTTAATGTTAATGAGCAGTGCCATGTTTGAAATATGTGCTAAATATAGAATTTAAAAGTACTACATGTACTGTAACTACAGAATTAATTCATGGCTCTTTCCCAATTACAAATCTTGGGGTTTTAAATTATGTGAAGATGATGAAGAAGCAAAATTAATATTCTGTTCAGTTCTGACTTCTATAACATTAACGTCTAAAGAGAATTCTACCTATCTTCTACCCATTTTAGTCTGATTTTAGGCAAGCATTATTTAATCTGGTGTAATTTTTCTGAAAAAAAACAAAAAACAACCGAAGAAGACATTTCAATAATTTAAAGCTTATTTTTTTACTTTTAAGATTACATAGCTTTTTGCTAAGAATAAAAGATTTGCTTCTGTTTGGTTAATATATTTCTTGGGCTATGAGTGGGAGCCCATATCATGCCTTAAGCTCTACTTTGTTATGACAAAAACTGAATATCTGAAACAGGTGTTGCATCACAGCCCTGAAAAGCTTTGTGAATGTGTTGTCAGGTAAAAGGATTAGGCGAAGAAGAAGAAGAATGTAAAAATTGACAATATTATTGATGGGCTTTCGAAGTAGGACTGTGAAGTAGATTTTTGCTACTACTGGGAACTCCAGAATATGTAAGGTGTGATGGAAATTTTTTAAAAAGTGGTTGCTTCTGTCATAAAATTCAAGACTTGTTTTATATACAGTGCTGCTTAGCTATATTTTCTCTTCTACTGTTGAAAGATGGGTGCACTCTCTGAATTTACTGAGTTCTGACCCAAATGAATCCAGAAACATTTGTCTGAATCAAATTCAATCAATTTCTTGTACTATCAATTCTTGCCTGAAACTGTAGTCTGGTATCTGTGGACTATAATTTAAATTGTAATGGTCAAAGTTTAGTTCATGAGACAAAAGGTACTTGTAGAAGAGAACTGAAGCATTCTACTGATGTGCCCAAATGTGTATATATGCTATCAACTCCATTTCAGCTGCATGAAGTGAAAGCAGAAGGCTGAAGTCCTAGATTGAATGGATCTTCTATTATTGGAAAATAAATTTGCTTTAAATAGATGGTGGTCATTGATTTTACTGTCGAGCGCTTCAAGTTGTGAAATCCCGATAGGCATTTTTAACAAGTGGGCCTGTGTACAATTTTAAGTAACTCACTCTTACTAAAAAGTTTGTGTGAATATTATTCAGAATAGCATTTCTTCTGCAGAAGGCCCCTGTCCTTTTATAAAAACAGATCAAGTATTTGACAATTCTTGTGTTTATCCTTGTCCTTGACTATTATCTCAAACTATTGAGTGCAAAAGTCTAAGATTGGAAGGTACTGTATCGGTGAATGTAATACAAATGGAATTAAATTCAATTTATTAGGTTTATAGACCGCCCAATCCCGGAGGATATAGATCAGGTACTAGAGATGAATTAAATATTTTTGAAAGCTGCTTGGCCTTGAATTTTGAAAGGCTGCTTTAAAGTCAGGCACAAGTGCTGTTCCTTTGTTATTTACCAAATGTCTCAATATTGTTTCCTATAAAGGATTCAATGTTATTGACTGAATTGCAAAAGAAAGTGGAAATTGGCAGTGTGTTCTCTTTAGGGGAGAGAATAGGACAAAAGGGCAGCATAGGTTTTATTAGACTATGCCAAAATCGCTGATAACTTTCTTAGAAACTTTATCCAAAGAAGAAATTAAGCACCGGCTGTTTAAATAGTTCAAAAGCTACTCCATGGTGGCTTAATCATTTGACCTGCACTTTTGTTAGTGATCTCCAGCTATCACAAGTCCCATTGATTCCACTTGTGTCTGAATGTTACCTAACACATCTGAATGGCTGCTTTAAATGTCATACTTTAGTCTACATTTCAGGAACAAGGCTAGTCACGTGCTCACTTCCTACAGCTGACAATTTCCTACCAAAAATAAATCGGCTGGAGGCTCCTCCCTGTAGCAGGGAGCTGGGCTTATTGGGCAAGGAGTCATGCCTCGCACAAAAGGAGAGCTGTTGTAATTGCCTGTTAAGAGCCGGCAGTGTATTTAACAGCCTCCCAGTGTGTCAACAAGCCAGAATAGCAGGCAGCCAAGACCAGCCCTTCATGGTTCAGAAGGCAGAGATTTTAATTGCAGCCATGGCTTTCACCATGGCTGGCAGGGTTGGGGAAATGGCCAATGAAATCATCTCTGTAGGGCAGTGGTTCCCAAACTTGGCAACTTTAAGACTTGTGGACTTCAACTCCCAGAATTCTCCAGCCAGCAGAATTCTGGGAGTTGAAGTCCACAAGTCTTAAAGTTGCCAAGTTTGGGAACCACTGCTGTAGGGAAAATTAATATCATAGACCGGTGATGGAGAACCTATGGCCATAGGTGGCACGCAGAGCCCTCTCTGCGGGCACTTGAGCCATCACCCCAGCTCAGCTCTGCCACGCATGTGGGTGGGTGTGCCTCCCACTGGCCAACCGATTTTCGGGTGTCAGCCGCGCATGACATAGACCTAGTAACAATTTTGGGGAGTTAAAACGAAAATCTTGCCCAAGTGGCCCTGGTACAGCATTGTATAGGTAGTCCTGGACTTACAACAGTCCCTTTAGTGACCATTCAAAGACACAACGGCCCTGAAAATGGCTTATGACCATTTTTCACACTTCGGACCTTTCCAGCATCCTCACAGTCATGTGAATTACATTCAGAGGTGCTTGACAACCAGTGGTGGGTTTCGATTTATTTTACTACCGGTTGGCTCCTGCACGCAAGCGCTCTTGGGCTCTGCACATGTGCAGAAGCGTCTGGGTAGGTGGGCGGAGCCTCCCGCCGCCGCCACTAGAAACCCACCTCTGTTGACAACTGGTTCATATTTATGACGGTTGCAGCATCCCCGGGGTCACGCAATCCCCTTTTGCGACTTTCTGACCAGGCAAGTCTACAGGGAAGCCAGATTCACCGAACAACCGTGTCGCTAATTTAACAACGGCAGAGATTCGCTTAACAGCCGTGGCAAGAAAAGTCGTAAAATGGGGCGAAACTCACTTAAAAACTGTCTTGCTCAGCAGCATACATTTTGGCCTCAATTGTGGTTGTTAAGAACTACCCATACTGTAGCGTCCCTGGGGATTCTCCCATATTTGGCCTAAGGGATCGTAGTCAGCCTGGTGGTGGATCCTTGGCAGCTTTCCTGCCCTGCAAGAGATTTGAAGGATGGATGGATGGATGGATTGGGGGGCTTCCTGCCCTGCAAGAGATTTGAAGGATGGATGGCTGGATGGATTGGAAGGCTTCCTGTCCTGCAAGGGATTGGATGGATGGATTGTGGGGGGGTGGGCTTCCTGCCCTGCAAGAGATTTGAAGGATGGATGGATGGATGGATTGTGGGGGCTTCCTGCCCTGCAAGAGATTTGAAGGATGGATGGATGGATGGATGGATTGGAAGGCTTCCTGTCCTGCAAGGGATTGGGGGGGAGGGGCTACCTGTCCTGCAAGATATTTGATGGATGGATGGATGGATTGGGGGGTTTCCTGTCCTGCAAGGGATTGGATAGATGGATGGATTGGGGGGGGGGCTTCCTGTCCTCCAAGGGATTGGATGGATGGATTGGGGGGCTTCCTGTCCTGCAAGAGATTTGAAGGATGGATGGATGGATTGGGGGGGTGTTTCCTGTCCTGCAAGGGATTTGATTGATTGATTGGAGGCTTCCCACTCGTGATCAGGACCATCCCTCGGGGTGGATAGGAATCCCCTGGAACCGGTGCGGGGCGTTTGCTCCAGGGGAGCGCCCTTGGCCGCCGCCGCCGCCCCTTCTGCTTTCTCTTCCTCCTCCTCTTCCTCCCCTCCTCCGGGCCGGCTTTTTCCGCCGGCGTCTGTGCCGCCTCTGCCCCGGAGGAAAGCCCGCCCAGAAGAGGAGGCGAAGTCCTGGCCGTGCCGAGCGCCGGCAGCCACCCCGGAAAGAAGACGCGCTCGGTGCCGGCGGCGACGGCGGCGTAATAGGAACCGGCGGGGGGAAGAACGGTTGGCTGCGGGCCGTCGAGCCTCCGCGGGGGCGGCGTGGAAGCCAGGCGCGGAGCATGGGGGCCGCCCGGCTGCTGCGGGCCGCGCTCTGGGCCCTGCTCCTGCCGCTGGTAAGGGCTCTGGGGGGCGAGGGGGACACGTCGCGGGACCCCGTGGCCGGGTAGTGTGGGGGGGCGGAATTCCGGGCTCGCCCCCCGTCCCAGCTGCGGCTCTCGGGGCTTTCCAGCGGTGGAAGCGAAACCTCCGCGGGCGCCACGACTCGGGCTTTCCCCCCACGCGGGAAACCCCCCGGGTGGGCTTCCCCCCCCAAGCCCCTTAGCCTAGAACTCCCACGCCCCTGGCCTCTGAGCATAGGAAGAGGGCAAGGGGCAGCAGAGCAGAGAGCGCCCTCCTCGGCGCCTCCCTCCCTCCCTACCTCCCCCTGGGGGCTTCGGTGCCCCTCTAAGGGAACGTGGGAACGGGGATTCCCGTGCATCCCCAGTTCACGGGTCCGACTCTGAACCCCTGTAAAAAAAACCCAGCCCGGTGGGCTTCTCCGTTTGTTTGCTTGCGCATGCGCGCCCGGTCTCAGCCATGACACTGGGTCTTGCTGGAGAGAAATGGAACAAGCGGCGCTTTTAAGTTTTGGGGACGAGGAGAGGGGCAGGTCCCGGAAGTTGACAGCGTTGGTGGCTGGACTTTGACTTTGGTCCTGCTGGCTTCGGGCAGCTGCTGCTTTGCGTAGGCCATTGTTTAGCTTCCCAGGTGCTGCAATAGCACAAACTTTATATGCCTCTTCTACAGTGCTTTTACAGCCCGCTCTAAGCGGTTTACAGAGTCAGCCTCTTGCCCCGCAACAATTTGGGTCCCCGTTTTAGCGACCACGGAAGGATGGAAGGCTGAGTCAACCTTGAGCCTGGTGAGATTCGAACTGCCAACTTGCAGTCAGCTGGCAGTCAGCAGAAGTGGCCTGCACTACTGCATTCTAACCACTGCACCACCTCTGCCCTTTCTGGAATGTTAGAAAACTGGGTCCTGATGGCCCTGGCCATCCACACAACCATTGGCCCCATAATCCTGGGTAGTACGGGTAGCCCTCGACTTCCATCAGTTCCTTTAGTAACTGAAGTTAAAATGACACTGAAAAAAGTAACGCTCGGCCATTTTTTCACACGACCACTGGCGGCATCCCCAGGATCACATGATTTAAAATTAGGATGCTTGACCACCGATTCACATTTACGACGGTTGTAATGTCCCAGAGTCAAGTGATCATCTTTTGCAACCCTCTGAACAAGCAATGTCAATGGGATTCACTTAACAACTGTGTATATTAATTTCACAAATGCAGTGGTTCGCTTAACAACGGTGGCAAGAAAAGTCACAAAAATGGGACAAACTCACTTAACAAAAGCTTCAACAACATACCTTTTGGGCTCAATTACGGTTGTAACCCAAGGATTATGTGGTGGCTGAGAAGCAGACCGCCTGAAGGCATCCCTAATCTTGGGTGTGCAGTTGTTGGGGCCTGCAATAATGCTGTGGGTGTAGATGTGGGAGCAAAATAGACTTTGCTGTAAGTTCTGTAGATGGGCCTGCTCATGCCTTGTGGCTCCCTTGCGGCTATGAAAATAGAATACCATAGAATAGAATTGTTTATTGGCCAAGTGTGATCGGGCACACAAGGAATTTGTCTTCGGTGCATAAGCTCTCCGTGTACATAAAAGCTATAATCAATAAATCAGATCATCGTCATCCTAAAATACATTAATCATAAATCATCAGATGCAACAGTGCTAGGCCTAGGATACTAAATAAGCAATCCACGTAAATCATACTAGGAAACTAAAAAAATCTGCTTCAAGTCCAAGAATTTTCTCTACGTAGTTGTGGGTGCCTGAGAAAGTGTAACTCAGGTTGTCTAGTGTGAGCTGTAGCTTTGTTGGAGTGACTTGAGCTGTGAGCTCTGGATGACAACTGGCGGTGTTTCTGTTGTTGTGGTCTGTCTTTTAATAGGTCTGCCTTTGAAACCGATCGGACTCTGTTGATGTATAAGTTAATTTTGTTGGTGGATATTTTAGTCTTCTGAATGCCTGGCTTAATTCCACCAATGGAGCAGTTTGGTCTAACTCAAACTCAAGCTGTATCCAGCCCGCTGGGTGACTTTGGATGTCACAGAGTGGTTGTTATTGAGAAAATAGGAGGAGGAAGGTGTGTTGGATATGTTTTTGCCACCCACCTTCCGTTATTTGTAAAAATAATAAAGCTGGGATGCGAATAACATAAATAAATGACTTACAACAAATGCAGTTGTAGCTAGCATAGATTGGTGATATTTTTTTTAGGTAGCATGAAACTTAATAATTGTCACACATATCTAAATGTTTTCAGTTACTATTCACAACGCACCAAAGCTTCGCAGTTCCTGTTTTTTGTTTAAAAAAAAAAAAGCAGAATTGGCAGACACAGATTTGCCAAAAATACTTTTCTAGCAGATGAATAGCTGCTTACCCAGTACTGTGGCCGTGGGTAAGTGTCTAGTCCTTAAACAACACACGATCAGGACAGGACAACAAAATTCGCACACACTGTTTCATCAGTCAGCTTTGATGCCAGGGAAAAACGGGAATTAGGACACAGAGAGTTGCAAACTGCAAAAACAAAACTCTCCAGCCGTCATTTCATAGGGAAGTCATTAAGTTTTCGTGACTTGCTTGAATATCTTTCCCCTTAACACAATGTTTAAAACCATGTATAAGAATCGCATCTTAAATAGGTTACAGCTTCAGGCTAACCTTGTCTGGACTCAGAAACTAAAAATGCTTGGATTAATAAGTTAAGAATAAGATATCAGAGCTACAGCTTTGAAATCCAGGAAACAAAAGCAAACCAACTTTTGTGACTGTGTCCATGAGATGATCATCGTCAGTCAAACTCAGTTTTAAGGATGGACAGAAAAAACAAACAAACAGGAAGGCATGTGGTTTAATCTCTCCTGAACCACAATCTGAGTCACTCTGTGGAGTCTGATGATTCAGCTAATCAGCATCTAACATCTTGAACGTTTTTGATTACATATTTCCAAGGCCGTAAACAAGAGCAAGAGATGAACAAAACAGGCACGACATTATTGGTAAACAGTGATGTTTACCCAACTGCAAACAAAATGTCAGAATCAGTTCATTCTAAATTCTTCTAGGTGAAGAATGATCCCACTTAATGTTAAATCAAATCCTTTACCACCTACAAAATGTTTTTGCTTAATCTAAAATTAGTTAGGGGAACCACATCATGTGAAAATGTCCGGCAGTTCATCCTACAAACTTCCTGAATTCTTAGAATGAAAATGTTTGAATAATTGATTGAAAGATACATATTTTTTCTTGGCAGTTTTAATTTTGGCTGAGAAAGGGTTTGAGAAACTCAAAAGCTTAAAACTGTTGCAAAATTTTGGTTGGCTTAAGAACGAACGACTTCTATGGAACTTTGATTTAAAAAGAAAGTGGAATCAAATGATTAATTGAGTTCATTGCATACAGGGCGGGGCATAACCTTTTCCTAGGGGGTCACAGCAACACTTGTAATAACAACACAAATAATTCATACACCATTCGAAAGCCCATCAAAA